TTAGAGCCTCTGAGGTCACAGAAATGGGTGCACCCTAAAGTAAGGATGCAGACAACAAGAATGTCAGGTGGGATGGAGATCCAGGCAGCCAGGAGCGGTTCCCAGTGAAGCATTAGGAATAAGAAAACACTCAGTGCACTCTAGAGGCACAGCTGATGCTGGGCTCCCTGACTGCTCAGAGTTCTGTCTGTAGGACAGAAATGGGATACATAGGGCACAAGAATTCCTCCTGTCACTTTAGTTAGTTTCTACAGGGATTGCACCTATACCCATGGTAGATTCCCAACCTGTAGGAGGACTTCCTTAGGTTCTCTACCATTTGGTAACTGCTTGACCCACAAGACATCTGTCTGGTTATAGAGTTAACCAATAGAGGGTTTGAGTCTATCAAGAGACTCCATGGGTCTCTTGACCCCAACCCATGTATCCTGTCCCACAGGCATGCAACATATTAGAGGACAGTGGTTTCTCAGCATTCTCCCAGCAATAATTCCTTTGATATCTTACTTAGCTTGTGGGCACATGAGTTTGAAAGATTTTTGTCTTCTAAGCAGATTTTATTAAGAATTAGTGTCTTTATTTTCATTACTCAATGAAAATAGAGTAACACCATTTCCCACAATGACTTGACATAATACCTAAGCAAAGCAATTAATATTTCAGTAGGTCTTTGTAGTAAGAGAATAGACTGTGTAGACATTTGGCATTTTTAATTCCTGAAAATTGTTTTGTGCCCATTCCCACCATTTGCCAGTCTTAGGAATCCAGAGACCTTCTTATGTGTTAGAAAAAAGAGCAAATAATTTGGAGTCCCAAGATATGGGACTTGTTAGCTGAGTGATGTTGAGAAGGGCACTCAGCTTTATCGAGTCTCAAGTTCTGAAAAACTACCATCTGAAAATGACACCGGAATCGAACCTGGGACCTTTCAGTCCACAGGCCGACGCTCCATCCACTGAGCCAAACCGGTTTTGGCAACATTTGGCATTTTAATTCGTGAAAATTGCTTTGTGCCCATACCCCCCATTTGCCAGTCTTAGGAATCCAGAGACCTTCTTATGTGTTAGAAAAAAGAGCAAATAATTTGGAGTCCCAAGATATGGGACTTGTTAGCTGAGTGATGTTGAGAAGGGCACTCAGCTTTATCGAGTCTCAAGTTCTGAAAAACTACCATCTGAAAATGACACCCTCCTTACAGGACTGTTATAAAGATTAAATAAAACCATACAGGAACATTTTGGCATATTCAGCCTTCTCAAAGATAGAAATTTGACAGCAAAAATAAACTTTAAAATAATCCTGGTATCTGTAATAATAAAAGCATGATATGCTAATTAGAACAGACAACCTTCCAGACGAAGCTGGGGCTGTGAAGGAAGTCTGAGTCCAGGGTGTCGGAGGATAGCCAGTGCCAGTAGCTGGGGGAAGGAAGGCCCTACTCTTGCACGAATTTTGTGCATGGGGCCTCTAGTAATATATAAGATATTTGTTTCTATGTTGCATTAAAATCAAATAAACAAAACAATGTTTATAAACTAGAAAATAAGAACACTATTCCCTCACAGCTTTGGAAAGGGATCAAAATACTGACTTGTGGGGAATTGTTAGTGTGTGTGTGCATGTGTGCATGCGTGCGTGCGTGTGTGTGTGTGTGTGTGTGCATGTGTGCATGCGTATGCATGCGTGCGTGCGTGCGTGCGTGCGTGTGTGTGTGTGTTTTGGGGTTCCTTTCCTGGACGAGACAAATATTAGTGTTGAGTTTTATGCTGGTACAGGATCAAGAACACCTGCGGAGGAGGTAAAAAATGTATGCTTTCAGGATCCAAGCAAATAATTTAGAAAGGACTCCTTACTCTTTTACATTTAGAATACAAATAGTATAGCTACCGTTGGGTGGTAAGTTTTCCCAGAAGAGAATGCAAAAAAACATGGGCTTTGGAGTCCAACAGACTCCAAGTCAAACTTCACCTCTTCTTACTAGCTCATGATTTGGGCAAATTGTATACATTTGTTCTAGGAGTTAAATTTAAAAAATGTAGGTAAAAAGGCAGTGGTTCATTTCCTGGTCATAATAAGCACTGGATAAAGGTAGAATGGTGTTATGAGTCCTTGTATTTCAGCTTCATTTTTTTTCTCTTTATCCTAATGTTTTAGAAAACAGAAAGGATAGCACGTGAGTCGAGTTCTGGCAGGGTCAGCAGTATCAGAAAAGGGGACTCTCGGACTTGGTGATGCAACCCCTATTTATCATGCCTTTGCTAGCGCACTCTTAGGTATGCATGAGGCATGTCAGTGAAAAAAAAAGGACCCTTTGTTCAAAAATGTTTAGCCAACCACATTTCATGATGGCATTTCTTTATCTTGGTTTTGTAAATGCTCAGGAATTGTGGCTGCTTTGAAATTTCTGCCAGAAATTTCAGGGATTTTTTTGATGCATCAGAACAAAAATGAAATGGGGGTGGGAAGCAGAGGAAGGCTTGTTTCTGTACATTACTCATTTACCTGTTAGATGGCACCAACAAGCTGTTTGGACTCTAAGCTGACACGGGTCTCTTTGAGTTTCAGGTACTGCGAGCTGTGATATGATAGACTGTTGAGGGTTCCCATACTTGAAGCCTCGTTCTGCCCAAATCCCTTGGATTTAGTGGAGTCGGTATTAACTGAAGTGAAAGGACGTAGCAATTAAATTCTTGAGTTCCCAGATAAGGCTTGGGATGGTGTCATTTCTTTCCCTGGAAATAGTTCAGATGCACTTTAGTTTGGCTCATGGATTTGAGTCTCTGGAATATAAAGAGGCAGGGATATAGCCTGAGAATTGCCTGTGTTTACTTAGAAAAATATTCCTAATTACTTAGGGAGACTCCAGTGACTGCCACTACCAGGAATTTTTCCCTTTGTTCTCCACCGGTCCCTCCCCTTACCTCATCTCAAAGAAGGTAAGTCTAGTCCAATGCTAGCCTTTTGGCTACAGCGGTACCCAGCTAGCCTGGGTACAGCACATCAAGGACCCATGGAGAACTCGCACCCCAGTGCATGCTCCTGGGTGCGCTTAACTCCGTAACCACATGGGAAAGCAGCAGTGAGAGTGAGGCAGAGCTGAGTAGAATCCTGGCTCAGCCTCTAACAGCAAACTTGGGCAAATTAACTGACTTCTGGTTTTTAACCTCCTAACATGTAAAAGGAATAATATCTCTGTAGTCTAGTCAAACTAAAAAATAATCTCCCCTTCCCCCACTTAATAGCCACTTTGCATGAAATGGGAAGAAAAACTGGTTATATTCTCAGGTGCCACCCGTGTTTTGGCCTTGAGCCAGATGCTGCACTGAATGGAATATGTCTCCCTAAGTAATTAGGAATATTTTTCTAAGTAAACCCAGGCAATTCTCAGGCTACATCCCTGCCTCTTTATATTCCAGGTCAGACCTGAGTGTCTGTCTGTCCCTAAGGCAGCCTGCAATATAGTGGGAAACTCTGGCCAATGTATTTGAATGCCCCGGCGCCCTTCCCCCTCTTCAAAACCGCTTCCATCAGTTGCCTTATCTACAAACATTCTCTAGAGACTGGTCAGACAGGACTTAATATCTCCACAGAAATCTACCAGTTTTCCATGATTCTCTATCACATTCCGGGGAGTTAGCCACAGACTCACTGCAGATCTCGCATGGGGTTTGTGCCTGCGCCACACTCTGCAGTGGCCTTGCTTCCTGCCTCTAGTTAACTGCATGAACCACATAAAAATTCCTGCCACAAACCTCACCAAAGGGGATGCACTTCAGTTTTATAAATGATTGACAAAAATAGTGTCAAACTTTACCTCCACTAATACACGGGCCAACTCCTTCCCTAAAGGGAGTTCAGAAAAATAGGGCCTCCCTACCACCAGGCCTCTAATCATTAAATGAGCCAGAAACCATTGCTTAGACCCGACAAATATACATGGTGACAATGTGACAACCATTCTAGAAGAGTTATATGCAGACCTAAGGAAGAGTGGACCATGTTCCTTAGAAAATAACATATTTTTAGAAAGTGTAGACTTGAAGGGGAAAGTTCATGTTTTTTTATGATTAATCTTTTTCTTCTTCAAAAATCCCTTAGTAACTTATCCTACAGTTAGTCTGTTTCTTCCCATTGATTTCCAATGGCAGAGGAAGCTCCTCCTAAACCACAAGCTCTTCTGCCCGAGGCGATAGAAGGTCTCTGATTTGTGCTAGAGTCTCATTCACGTTTGTTTATTGTGGAGATGGGAAGGGCCCTGTGGTATTTACTACTCCTCAGATAAAATTGTGCTCTGGCCAGAGAAGAATATGAGCTATAGCGTCAGAGAAGGGCATCTTCAATCAATGCTGCCTTGTGTCTGTTCTATAGAGAGACTCTGTCAGGCAAGGCTTGAGTGGTCCTCCATCAAAGGTAGGAAACAGCCCTGCGTCAGTAAATGATTGACCCGGCTGCCCTGGCTGATAAGCTTAGGCAAACAGGCTTGATTTGCTACAGCAGTTTCAAGATTTTAACTCCCTGAGCTCCAAAGCAGAAAAATGCACATACCTTCCTGGGAGATCCTATCATCTGAGGTTGACAGCCCTGTGCAGGAACAGCTCGTTCCTCAGAATTATGTATAAAATTTCTGGTATATATTGAAATTGGAAAGAATTCATACAAGCAAAATTCTGGAACAAAACCATGTTTGCAGAACTGAATGATGGAAGAATTTCAATAAATAAATAATATGATTTTTTTTATAAAGAACGATAAAAAACTTTCCAAAGTTTTGAACAACAATTTTGTAGAGGAACAACAATTTTCAAAGGAGCGAGAAGATGGAAGATAACTACAACCCACTTCCAGGACATGTTTGAACAAATGACTGAATTCTCTGGACACACACCCACATCTACCACATCAACCTCAGCGGACCATCATCGGACGCTCTGGCTACAAGGGTGGGCAAAATGCTTGTTCTGTGATCTTGAGAGAAGGGGCTGCAACCACAGATCACCTACCTTGATTGCAGAATTAAATTAGTCTTTTCTCAGCTTCCTTCTTGACTTTGCAGTGATAACCACGATTGTTCCAATCCTTGCTGAAGAGTTTCAGATGTTGGGAAGAAGCATCTGCATTGGGCTTCCACTTTTCCCCCAAATTGAAGAGTTCTCTTCCGTTTCCTACCCCACTCTCTCTGGCTCCTGCAGACAGTGGTCACGGGCTGTAACTTGCTTGCAGCCAGGTATGTTGACAGATGTGAAGGAGGGAGGCCGTACTGGTCTCAGCTGCCTGGTCTGGCCAATCATTACACACCAGGCCAGGCTTAGTCCTGCTCAAACCTGACCAGAGATCTTGGTGACAAAAATAGATAGCAGAACTGTGGGAGGGTCTGTTAGCTACGGACTGCCCAGAAAAGCAATTTCCTTGCAATTGGATCTGTGAAGTATACAGGAAGAAAATACCTTTTATTTCACTCCTTTTTAAAAAAAATATATATATTTTTATTGATGTCAGAGAGGAAGAGGGAAGGAGAGAGATAGAAATATCAATGATGAGAAAGAATCATTGATCGGCTGCCCCCTGCATGCCCCACACTGGGGATCAAACTGTTATCTCCTGGTTCATCAACCACTGAGCCATGCTGGCTGGGCTATTTTACTCTTTTTAATGTTAGCAATATCAGAAGGGAATTTGGAGGTCACTTTATCAAATCTCTCATTTAATAATGGAGTTTCCTCTATTGAATTCCTGTCATGTGAGAATCATCTGAAAGTTCCTTGATCAAATAGGGCTGCCATTTATCGAAAGGACACTATATATGTTAGGTATTTTATATGGATTACCACAAACTGTCATAATTACCTTGAGATTTTGTTCCTATTTTATGGTTAAGGCAACAGAGGCTCAAATGGATAATGGTCATGAAACGAGTAGGTGCTGAAGCCAGGATTTGAACTCAAGTCTGCTTAAAAATCAGTACCAGTGTCAAAGCACTTTCTATGATTCACTCTGTGGTTGGCTGCATAAAAGTCCCCAAAGATGTCCATGTCCTAATCCCCAGAACATGAGATGTCATCTTACATCATAAAAGGGACTTTGCAAATGCAATTAAGGATTTTGAGATGGGAAACTATCCTGGATTATCCAGGTGGGCCCAGTGTACACTAAAAGGCCTCTTAAGAGGTCAGAGTCAGAGAAGATGTGATAAGAGAAGCAGAGTCAGAGGGAGATTGAAGATGTCACGCTGCTGGCTTTAATGATGGAGTAAGGAACCATGAACCAAGGAAGGTGGCTTCTAGAACTTGAAAAGGCAAGGAAATGGATTTTCTTTTAGAGCCTCCAGAAGGAACATAGTGCCAGCCCAGTGTAGACTTCTGACTCCAGACTTGAAAGGTAATACATTTGTGTTATTGTAAGTCACAAAATTTACGAGAATTTGTTATATCAGCAACAGCAAACTGATACACACACTCCCAGAAATACTCTTTGTGATGGTGAGCTCACTCTCTCACTTAGCATCCATTCCACATAAGAATACTCTTTATTAAACCAAGCTCCCCTTTTTGTAATGGCAACTTGTGGGTTCTACCTCTTCTCTGCACATCAGGCACTTGGGAGGCAGCTGGAAATGATGAGAAAAAACCCTGGGAATGGACTCAGAGCCCGAATTCTAGTCCCAGCTCTGCATTAGGCCACACAGTCTGGCTTTCCATTTTCTCTCCTATAACAGCGCCTGGACAAATGTTCTTTGGTCACTTCCACATCTAAAATCATAAGATTCTAAAATCTCAGTCATGTAACAATTTGAAAATATTTGAAGATATTCTCGTCACTTTTCTCTCAATCTTTTGCAAGCTCAACATCCCCAGTTTCTCATGTGATATAACTTCTGGACCTTTCATTCTCCTAGTTGCCCTTCTGGAAGAAGGCTCCAATGTATCAATTTCCTCTGCAATCTGTGCATGGGACCCGGCCATCCCTCCATGGCTGCCAGCGTGCCCGGTTTCTCTGGCTCTGCTACCACCCTCTCTTGCTTGAGCCCTTGTCATGCTCCCTTAGGATCCTTTGGACTTGGCTTAGTCAGTTCCCTTTTATCTTATTCTATCCAACCTTGCTTCTTAAAAGAGAGCTCTATAGTCAATAAATGTCTTAATTTAATGTTTGCTTGTAACAGGAAGGACCATGGCATTGTGGTGCTAGTCTAAATTAGCTCATGTGCCAACATCTGAATGGTCATTCTCATAGGCACTTGAAAGGCAGTGGTTCGCAACTTTTAAAGATCATAGATTTCTTTGAGAATCTAATGAAAGCTATGGATCCTCTACCAGAAAAAAAGTGCACATATATCTAAAATGTTGTGTGTTATTTCAGAGCATTCTGGTCCCCCTGAAATGGTCCACCAACCCCTATGATGTGAGGCAAATTAGTTCTATACCCATAAGTTTGTTGGTGGGAGAAGCTTTTGCAAAAGGCAATCCAACAAGGCACTCTATCTTTGTCCAGATCCCCTTATAATTCATGGAGGCCTAGAGAGGATTCCCTGAGCCCTGAATTGGGCAAATCCCAGTGAGGATCAGGGCAGGAGAGTATTCAGGCCAAAAAGCAGAGAAGTTCTCAGGTTAAACAAAGAACAGCTTTCAGTGGCCTCTTTTCGCAACAAGAGCTCTGCTTCTTAGAGCTTTTCTCCATAGAATGAACCTATTCTTTAGACACCAGGACCCTTACATTAAAGCCATCTGCTCGCCTAAGGCTTCTCTGGATTGCACGATGCTGCTGGACAGAGGCTAACACT